GCCTTCCCTTCAGGAGGGACAGTACATTGGGTACCATTAACCCCACTTGACTGTATCAGTTTGCAGTTGTTCCCTCACAGCATCCCTTTGTTTTTCTACCGTGAAAGAGGAGAACTCAGAAGTGCCAGATTTATCTTCCCTAATGAAAGCACTGGCTGCACGAGCAGAGTCCTGAGGAACAAATGACAGCAGGAAATTAGACAGCCTTCAGCAAAAACCCGTGTTCTCGGCAGTTCTTCAGATAAGCCTCATGCACTGCTGGGCACCCCTCTCCCTGTGGGTTCTCTTTATTGGGATAAGCTTATCCTCTCTTTGGGTTCTTTAGCTGAGAGCCAAGATTTCATGCCAAAATTCAGCAGTTAAGGAAGAGCAGTGGGTTGGCAAATGGTGCCTGAGACCAGCCCATCAACCTTATAGAATCACAGAAGTATATTATGGAATGGTTTGGGTTGGAAGGGACCTTAATGCTTATCCAGTCCCCTCCCTCGACCTGCTTGCCACCAAGAGAAAACTCATGTGAATGGAGCCTGTCAGCAGGGCGTGGGCAGGGATGAGAGCTGCTTCCTTGACACTGTTCTCACAGAGCAGCCTGTGAGAGCATCCGTCTCATGAGTTTGTCCTATTCAGCAGTTGTGTTATATCCACAGTGACACATAGCACAAGTGCTTCTGGTCTTGTTCTGGGGGCTGTTCAGAGACTTTCTTTTCTTTCTGCACTCTGTCCCCTGTCCTTCCTTTTCAGGGACAGTTCTCAGGCAATTCTGGAAGTCAAAATCCTTTCAAAATGGGAACTGTAGTGGTGTCATGTCATCTGGGCATTCACTGTTCTAGGCAGGGAGCCTCCCAAGTGTCCATCTGCATTTCAAGCAAAGAAAGGATCAGTCCCCAGCCTGTCCCTAAAGCACAGCCTGGTTACTGTGGCTGAGCTCGGCACTGGAGCCTTTGGGTGTGCCAAGCTCTAGTGGAGAACCTCAAGAGCAGTCTCATGTCTCACTCAGCAGCAGACAATGGTTGTTCATCGCAGGAGGTGAGTCCTTCACACACTTCTAATGAAAAGCAGTGGAGACGCTTTTGAAGGCCGAGATGAGCACATCTGGAAGCCAAGAACACAAAAGACTTCACCGAGCAAAAGCAATGCATTTCTCTTTGGAGTGATGAGGAGCACGTTCCCTCTGTGGTTGGATTTGCCCTTGCCTTTGTTACTCCTGAAGAGATTCGGACTGAGCGAGTTCAAAGCAAAAATCCTCATCTATTAATGACTCATTCAAGGAATCTGCTTTTTAAGCCCATCAATGACTTAAAAGGAATCTGCTTCTTAACCCATTAAGAAGGCTTAATTAGCTGTCCTACAAATCTCTTTCTTTGCTTAGAACTTCCATCAAGCTGGTGTGTCTTTGCTTGCAAGACTGCTTCCCGTGGAACCTGTTCTCCCTCTTTGCTGATTCTAGTCAGTTCCACCCATGTGCTGTGGTGCACAAATCAGGCCTTGCCTTCAGTGTCTCAGAAGAGTAATTTTCCTGGATACACTGAAGGATTCATCCAGTCAACTGATCTACTGCTGATGCTGACACCCTGCAAGACCAAGCTCTGTGCAACAGGGGCCCAGAGCAGCCAGAGCCTGGACTTCGTGTGTTCAGAGAAGAAAAGCTTAAAGGCAGTCCTACAGCGGTGATGACAGCTGTTCCAACTCACAGAGCTTGTGGCAACCAGCAACCCCACTGTCTCAGGGATGCTGGTCTTCTAAGGCCTAGCTGGAGCACCTCCAGAAGTGGGAAGTGAAGGAAGCATTTCATAAAATCCCAGACAGGTTTGGATTGAAGCTCCTCCAGTTCCAACCCCCTGCCACAGTCAGGGACACCTTCCACTAGAGCAGGGTGCTCCAAGCCCCTGTGTCCAACCTGGTTTGGAGCAGTGCCAGGGATGGGGCAGCCACAGCTTCTCTGGGCACCCTGTGCCAGCACCTCAGCACCCTCACAGGGAAGAGCTGCTGCCTAAGAGCTCATCTCAGTCTCCCCTCTGGCAGGTTACAGCCATTCCCCCTTGTCCTGTCCCTACATCCCTTGTCCAAGCCCCTCTCCAGCTTTCTTGTTGGCCGCCTTTAGGTACTGGAAGACTGTTAAACAGTCTCCCCTGAGCCTTCTCTTCTCTTAATTTTCTTATTAATCTCCCCAGTTACACTGACTTGATGTTGCCTAAACGAGAAGTGGGCAATGCCACTGTGTTCAGGAAACCTGACAAAGACAAAGTCCTCAATAGCAGCATCCTGAGAGGTAGCTGCACTTGGCTTCAGCTTGGCTGCTGCTGGCTAGCGTGTGTCTCCATCAGTATGTATTCCTTGGGCAAAGCACATGATACACCAACACTAATCTGGGACATCTGGTCTAGGTCATGATTTTCCTGGAAGGGTTGACCAGATGACTCTGGAGGCCCCTTCAACCTGGGATTCTGTGGTTCTGTGAACCTGCAATGAAGAAGAGCAGTGATCCAGGAAAACCCTCTAAGCAGATCTCATCGCTGTGCGTAATGTGCGAGTCTTCAGAAGGGTTCACATCCAGAAAAACTGACCTGGCTTCCAAGCAGGATGAAGTGCCTGTGGTTGAAGAATTGGACTGATGGCCCATAATGAAGTCAGCATCCAGAGCTGGACAGGACACCAGAGACTGTCAGCAGTGTAACGCACGGTTGGCAGAACTGTGCTGCTGGAGGTGTTGAGAGCCAATGCTATCTTGCCAACCATGCACCACAGTGACCCATCCAGTGCTCTGCAGAGGAGAACAGACCTACAGGTTACATCCACTGACCAGCTGTGCCTGGAAGGGTCTGCTGTGACATCTCTGCCTCGTTACTGTGAGGACACTCAGCCCTGGAAGCTGATTTCTCATGTGTGCTTCCAGCAGCCCCGTTTGCCAATAGCAGGAATAGCCCATTTCCAGGCACTGTAAACCACCGAACAAAAAAAAGAACCAGGGAGGCCTCACAGCACAGTCTTCATGAGACATGGGTCTCTGTGGGACCAACATCTCCACCGCTGGCAACGCCCATGATGCCAACAGCCTTTGGGCATCCACCCTGCAGTGAGGAGCACACTCATGTAGGCTGCTGCAGGTCTTGCTTTTGGTACCCCCTGGCCACATCTCTCTTCTCCTTTCACAGATTCCAACAGCACTTTCTCCTCTGTCCCACACTGCACAGGTTCAACAAGGTTGTGGCACACTGGCTGCTGTGCCTGCTGCCATTCCTGTTCCCGTTGACCTTTCTCCAACATAAGTGACCAGAACTGCTCAGAATTTCAGATGAAGTGTAGCAATGTCTCCTGTGGTGATAGGATTGCACCTATACATCTGTGAGGAACCCCTCTTAGATTTGGCAGTGTTTCTTCTGCCCTTCCATGGCCACTCTGGTGCCTCCCAGCCAGCCCCTTTTGGGGTCCATGAGCAGAGCCAGAATTTTCTCTCCATCTTTTCCAGCAGATCCTGTGACAGCCTCTGAGCTTTACTTTGTACTGTCAATTCTTGTTCTGTTCTTGTGCCACAGCCCTCAAGGTCATTCAGCTCTTTCCTCTCTGTAGTGATGGAGCTTCCCAAATGTGATTCACCTTCATGCTTCTTGGTAATGCACTTGCTTTCTGTGCCAGGGTAGCAGGGAAATAAGTAAGAGGAAGTGTGCCTGAGCCCACAGACTGTGAACAGAACTTCACGTTCATATTCATGTTCTGCTCATTTTGTGGGAGCCATCTCTCTTGAAAATCACGAGTGCTTATTCATGTCCAGAAGTGTGGATCTTGTGTGGTGTGGCATCACTGGCAGTGGATGTGTGCTGTTAACTGTAGCCCTTGGACTCTTTTTGCCAGCAGCAGGTTTCCAGAGTGTCCATCTGTTACAGGAAGGACCTGCGAGGGGAGAGCAGAGCTTGGAGGGTGGCGGGTAGCCAGGGTACTGATGACGGCACCATGCAGGCAGCCCAGGGTGTTCAGTAACCAACATCCCATCCTGGAGCCAGGGAGCTGCAGGACTTGTATTTGATCGATTAGTTTGGAGGACGAGCAGAGAGACATTGTTGACCCAAATGAGTGGTCATGGACTGTTTAGTGAAGAGAGAACCAGCCTGATCCCAGTGATGCCTCTTGACCCAGGGCTGCACAACCATGAAGCAGCAGGGCCTTCCTCCCTATTTACCATAGAATCACAGGCTGGTTTGGGTTGGAAGAGACCTTAAAGCTCATCCAGTTCCAACCCCCTGCCATGGGCAGGGACACCTTCCACTAGAACAGGCAGGGACACCTTGGGCTTAAACTATGACACCACTAGACCAGGTTGCTCCAAGCCCCATCCAACCTGGGCTTGAACACTGCCAGGGATGGGGCAGCCACAGCTATTGGCAGGACAGGAGCAGGCACCAATCCAGCACCAAGATGCTCAATCCATCTGTAGGGTTGGGCACACAGGGAATGTGCCAGAAGGTTCTCTCTTGTCCCAGGAAGGGGTGATGTGCTCGGGAGCACCAGTTTGCTCCAGGTCTGGGGCAAGACCTGAGACTGCCAGTGGTGGTGCATTAGCAAGAGGGGAGATGGGGGTCCCTGGTGGGAGCTGGGGCCAGTGGGCTTTGGTGCAGCTCTTCTGAAGCTTCTTGCTGCACTGCAGGGGCTGGGGCAGGGGCAGTACCCTAGGCCAGCCAGTGTTTGTATGCAGCCACACTCCCCCCAAGTGGGTCTAAATGGGCTCTGGAGCCGTGGCAGTTAGGGCAGGTTTGGCCAGGAACTGGAGGTACTGGATACGCTGGCTGAAACCTCTTCAACCTGCTCCAGAAGAGCCCTGGCAGGGCTGGCGAGGACGTCTTGACTGGAGTGCTCCTTGCCATGTCCCCTGAGTGCTGCAGAGCCCCCATCCCCCCTGTCCCAGCCCCCCCCACGTATACTCTGTGTGTGTGCTCCTGTGTCGGGACCTCGGCCTCACCCCTGCCCTCTGCTCTCTCCTCTCTCTTGCTGTACCGTTCTTTCTGCAGACTTTTCAGTAGTTTAGGAGAACTCAGCACCATTTCCCAGCGGAGCTCCGGGACCACCTACACAGTCCGACCTGGCAGTCGCTACCCCGTAACCCGACGTACCCCCAGCCCCGTGAAGCCGG